AACAATCTTAATCCCTTCACCATCTATCATGATGCTGTCAATTGGCCCATTGGTGAGAATCTGTTTTCTTGATGTTGAGCTTCACCATATTGAAGGTTGTAGTCCTTGAATTTCAGGAGCAAGAGGTTCAGGCCCTTCTCAGTTTCAGCAAGCAAGGTTGTGTCATCTGCATATGCAGACTGTTGATGTTTCTGCCTCTAATCCCGATGCCACATTTCTTTTCATAGAGCCCAGCCTCCCAGATAGTCTGTTCCACATACAGTTTGGAAAGATATGAAGACAGAACACATTCTTGACACATACTCATCCCAATTTTGAACCATGCAGTGTTTCCTTGCTCTGTTCTGATGACTGCCTCCTGGTGCAAGTATAGGTTTTGTATAAGCACAATCAAGTGTTCTAGGATTCACATTCTTCTCAGAGTCAGGCACAGTTCTTTGTTATCCACACAGTCAAATGTCTTTGCATAGTCAATGAAACACAGATATACTTCTGGTCCTCTCTGCTTTCAGCCAGGATCATCAGACATTAGCTATAATATCCCTAATACCATGGCCTCTTCTAGATCCAGCCTGCACTTCAGGAAGTTCTCTGTTCTTGTGCTGTTCCAGTAGTTTTTGGATAATTATCAGTGCAATCTTGTTTGCATGTGATATCAATGATACTGTTTGATAATTTTCACACTCTGTTGGATCATCTTTCTTTCAAATGGGAACAAATACAGATCTCTTCCACTCAGTTGGCAAGGTGGTTGTCCTCCAGATAGGGCCACTAAAAGTCTAACTTGGCTTGATGACAACTAGCAAAAGCAACAATAATATACATATATACTAGAACACCTGATTGTGCTCATGTGAAATCCATACTTGGACCAGGAAGCAGTCATAAGGACAGCATTAAGAAATAATGTGTCAGGGATGTATCCTTTTAATGTACCTTTTTAATCTATATAAAGAACTGATTTATTTGGGAGGTTGGAGTTTATGAGGAAGAATATGACTTCAAGTTTGGAGGAATATGCTTCAATACCCTGTGCTATGCAGATTACAGCTTTCCAAAACTGAAGAGGATCTGTGTTTGCTGGAGAAGGTCAAGGATTGCAGTCTCCAATATGGACTGAAGGTCAACATGAAGAAAACAAAGTTTTTCACCAGTAGGCCAATTTGTAGAACCATGATAGATGGAGAGGAGATTGAGATTGTTAACAATTTCAGTTTACTCAGGTCCACAGTCTACACTCTTGGCTCCAGCAGTTAGGAAACCAAAAGACAAAATGCATTGGCTTTGAGGATATCTGCTGTCAAGGACCTTTCCAGAATGTAAAAAAGCAATGAAAATATCAGTCTAGTGACTAAGGTGCGCATAATCCAGGTATAATTTTTGTAATTATTGGTTCTGCATCAGAGAGCTGGACAATGAATGAGAGAAGGATTGATACTTTTGAGTTGTGGTGCCCATGAAGAGTATTGAACATGAGTATTGAACAAAAGTATGTACTGCTGGGAAAACAAACAGGTCAAGAGGGTGAAGCCAAGTTGCTCCTTGGAGACAAGGATTTTGAAGCTCTGTCTCAGATACTTTGCTCCTGATATTGGCTCAGGATCAGGCAGAGCTCAGAGTTATTGTATGTTTGGTTGCAATGAGTTACAGTTGATGCAACACCACATAACAACAACAATATATACATACATGTGCAAATACTTTTTTCATGTGCCTTTATACTAAGAAATATGTTTGATAATGGCAGCAATATATCTTTACAGTTCTTGGAGTCACATGAATATCTAATATAGGGATGCACAGCATATATTAACAAAACCAAAAGAGATACATGAAAAGTTTAGTCTTCATATAATCCCATTCACCTAATGGATTGTCTATGTTTAAATTAAGCAAAGAAATAATTTTAAAATCAATGACAAATATTAAAAAATGAAATATTTACTCTCTAATGATCACAGTCTCATTCAGAAAGTCTGTTTTCATAAAAAATATACCTAGATCAATTATTTAAAAAATAATAGTAAAGCATAAATAGTAAAGACTAATCAAGAAGGGAGAGAAGTATAATGAAAAGGAAAATTGTTGCACTGAAAGCAAAAAATAAAAAAAAAACGAACCCAACAACATCAAAACCAATATAAAAACCAAAACAACCAAAGCCAAAAAAACAAACCCTGGATATTGAAAGATTAAATTAAAAAGTCTCTTCTGATGAAGATTCATAGTAGATGAAAGAAAAAATGTTTTTCATAAAGACCTTTCAACTTATTTCCCACCACTTTCAATGCCCAAAATGTACTTGTCAATCTTTAGGCTACTAAAACACTAGCATACTCTATTGTTATACAAAACTTCTCCATTAACTAGAACTGTCTTATGGACTTATTCTTTCTTCCAAAAGACATTGTTCTTTCTATGTATGATAGTTTTTAAACATATTTGTAAATTCTTTGTCACTTCTTCCATCCAGAGATGAAGCCTATATTTCATCTTCCATTTGAAGCTGGGTGGGCTTGTGCTAGGCTCAAAACTAAAGGATTGAGATAGAAGGGACACTGATGTCTGAGGCTTGGTGATAAAAACTAAAGCAGCTGCTACCTTATCCCTGAAACAGTCACAGGGGGAACCCTGAGTCATTGGGACAGTCTAAGGACATCATGTTTTCTTTCAAATTTTCAGTGGACATATATGGTCATGCTGGATGGTGCCTCTACAAAATAATGCTTGCTGTGAAGAGAGAATAAAATGAGTCTCGAGTTTCATGCATTTTTCACTTATATTTCCTTGGAAATAGTCTCAGAAACTTGTTGAAGGATTGTCATGACTTGGAAATGACTCAAGAGTGAACAGTTTCATTTTGTTTTTCTGGTGCAGTGATTAAAGTTTGTAAGGGTTAACTTGAGGTCAGCTGTTGTAACTCACCAATTACTCTGCAGAAGACAGACTTGGCAGTCGGCTTCTATAAAGATCATAACTTCAGATATTCTATAAGACAAATCCTTTTTGTCCTGTAGTCAAAACCAGCAGGATGTAAATAAGTTTTATTGATATTGATTGAATTAAATACTGGTGCTATGTGCTGTTGAGTATGTTCCATCTCACATACTTTGGGTCTGTGGCCAGGAGAGACCAGTCCTTGGAGAAAAACATCATGCTTGGAAGGGTGGACGGACAGCACAGGAGAGAGAGGAGACCTCAGATAGGATGAATTTATACAAATTCTGGGGCAATGGGGGTTGATGTGTCAGAACTAGTGAGACTGGCTCAGGACAGGGAAGGGTTCAGAGCTGCAGTACATAGGGTCGCTGCTATACGTCACAGGTAACTCAAAGACACATAATAACAACATATTATATTGGTTGTTTTTTGTTTGCTTTTATTTAAGCCTCTTGCTTAAGGGCCTTTGTATTTAAAAGTCAGTTGTTATATTTTGAAGGAACATTCTTCTAAGAGGTACAGCACTTTTCTGTCAATTTGCTTTAGTGAGGTAACTTGGGGTAGCTGTGAAGCTGAACCTTGTGCCATTGGGTTGTCAAATGCCACCACAGTTACCCATGGTGGACAGTGTTTGGTGGAGCTCCCAGTTTGAGACAGGTTTGGAAGCAGGAGTGGCACCCACTTCTTAAACAACATGCCTCTGTAAACTCTATGAAATTTAATAAATTATGATAGTTATCGAAAAGCTTTAGGTCTTTTTTTGATAGGGTCACTATGAGTCATGCTTTACTCAACAACAATCAACAACAACTAGTGGCCTCATGGTAAAAAGTGGCATTGCAAACCCAAAGACAAGCAGTCTGAAACCACCAGCTGCTCCATGGAAGAACTACAGTGGCCTCATTAGGTGAGATATTTACTGCCTCTGAAAACTTGCTAAAGATCAGCTATGAGTTGGTTTCAACTCAATGGCAAACAACAATATATAGCTATTTGGTTATATTACATTTATTTCAATACATTGACTTTTATTTTTTTTCAATATCACCATAAAAAGGCTCTAAAAAACAGGTGTATTTCTCTCAAATACCACAAGGTGTCCTTGATACAAGAATGTATGTTATTGTTTTTGTCTTTGTCAGGTGTCATCAAATTATATATGACTCACAGCAACCCTATGAACAACAGACATGAACTCAATTTCATCTTGTTCCATCCTCATAATCTCTGACCCACTCAAACTCAACATTGCAGTTACTGTGTCGATCCACCTGGTTGAGGCTCTTCCTCTCCCCACCTTTTCAAGTATGATGTTCCTCTCCAAGAAGTAGCCTCTCATAGCATAATGTCCAAAGGCAAAGCTGCATTCATCTTTGCCTCCAAAGAGCACTCTTGTTGCACCTTCTACAGGACCTATCTATTCTTTGCCAGGTCATAGAATATTTATCACTCTTCTCCAACACCACACTCAAAGGCATCAATTTTCCTGTAATCTTCATTCATAATACAGCTCTCAGATGCTTAACAAGTGATTGAAAAGGCAATACCCTAAAATGGGTGGACCTTACTCCTCAGACTAACATCATTGCTCTTTAGTAATTTGTAGAGGTCCCTGACTCATTAGCTCTCTCTGCTGGCAATCTTGTGGAAAAAGCTGGAGCAGGCACTCTTGGCTTGGCACGCCCACTGCAATCCATGGAAGAACATGCTATAGAGCCACCATCATCCCTGGACACAGGAAAATTTGGCTATATGGCTATCAACTGATTGCACCAGTTACTTGATGATGAATTGGATCCCTTTCAGCTAATGAAGGTAGTAGAGAGAGAAATAAAGAGAAAGGAAGGAAGGGAGAAAGGGAGGGAGGGGACGGAGGGAGAGAGAAACACAAAACAACAACAACACACACACACAAATATTAAAAACTTCAAGGTGAAGGGAAAATAGAAAGGCAATCTTTTCTGTAAAGACAAAGTGAAAAAACACTTAAAGATAAGGGTGAGGATAGGCCAATGTTTGACATATTTAAGAATGTGGTGATTTTTTAAAAGATTGAGAAGGCTGTGGACGTGGAATGGACTGAGCAAATGGATTTGATTCTTGTAGCGTATGTGAATTTGTTAGACATAGTGGACATCATAGATCTTCTTTTTCACATTATACTGGCCTGAAATATGAAGACAAATGTGGAGGTAGATCTCACAACTGGGTAGCTGTCAAAGATGAATTAGCAGTGTCCCAAATACATTTCAAAACAAATGTCATATAATTGCCGTATCGTGGCTCAATCAAATATTTCTGAGGATACACTCAAAGTGAAGAACATACAGAAGCCAACTCTGAGACAAAAGAAAATGAAGTTGAAGAGGAAAGAAAGAGCATCCAAAAGAAATGGCATTGGATAAGTGGAAGCTTATTCAAAATGAAGACCTGAATAAAGTAGAATTTAATATCCACAAACCAAATGAAGTTTCTGAAGGACAGTGGAAAACAGGACTTATTCTTCATAAGTCAAAGTGAATAGGCCCATTCAAAAGACTTGACTACATATCATTGTTTCTGGAAGCCAGCAAATGATATATAGTATCTCAGCTCGAGATAAATTTTCAGTGACCTTGCCGCCCAGGATTTGGAGGTAAGTGAGAGAGAGGATGACATGGGCATGATGGGTGTTCCAACCATGGCAGCAGGACTCACAAGTCCAGTGCTTCCGCTCCTGATGTAGATGATACAAATTCTTAGCTCTGTTTTAACAGGAGATGGCATAAAACTACTCTGGTTACATAGTGGAGCCTCCCCTTTTAGGTTTGTATGCTTAAAGATCCCAAAGAACTAAGAAATTATTTTTTTAAAAAAAGACTGTCATTCATTCATACCACTCATATTAAAGACTAAGGTTTAACAGTTTTGAAAATTAATTTCTCTCACAACAAAAAAGGAATAGGGTTGGTGTATTTAGGTTTTCTTTTTATAAATATATTGGTAGCAGGTATGTTTTTATATTTTTAGAGATCATGCATTCTTCACAAATATTTTTATATTGGTGCTTGCAAATATGTATTTCCAAACTTGAAATAGAGGTGTGAAGAGTGAGTGCCAGTTTAAAAAGAAAAATAAATACTCAATAAACATTTTCTCATTGAATGAATAAATATTCAATTTGCATTCTAAAAGCATAATCACTGTTCAGAGTAATTCACATTAAACAAGTCAGCTTAAATACTGTTTAGAAATTTTCACCTGAGGATCACGGCCTCATTAGGCCAAGGAAGCAATGCAGCTGCGGATCATTTGGTGAAAAGCCTATACACTAAAAAAGCAAGAAATTCAAGGATGAAAACTTCTTATTTCTAATTGGCGGATAAGAGGAGAGATTATCCCTTTCCCAAAATTATCACCTATAGCTTGCCTAATACAATGTTATTAATCCAACAGACAAACATGATTCTTTCTTGTTACTGGAAAAAAAAGCCTCTCAAATTTAATTAAAGTCAATAAAGAAATTAAAAGCTTAATGAGAGCAAGAATCCTTTAAGTGTGTTCATGCTGTTTTCAGCCTGTGATGCTGTAAAAGATAGGATTATACATTTATTGCTAGGACAACCAGGAGAAGAGGATGGATAGAGCTGTGAAAAACCTCCTGGTGAGAAAATTCTCCAAGTGAAAAACAGTTGAGCTTAATCAAGTCAACGGAAAAAATAAATTCAAAAAGGATAACTTCTGAGCATGACCACCTATTGTTTAAATCAAAGAGAGAAAAATAATTAGTGTGAATAAGAGTCCTAGTCCACAAGAAACATCTTGGAAATTTTGTGATGATGTCCACTACTCATTCTCATGTAATTAGCAAAGGATTAGGTCTTAAGAGAAATAAGAATTATTTTAATTTCAGTTTTAAAATTAGTATTATCTGCACTAGAAGGACAATGTAAATTCCAAACTTTTTCACTTAGAATAGGATCTCTTCTTAAGTATCATCAAAAGCCTACAATGACAGTGATCAAGTAAGATCTGGGAAAAGTGCTGAAAGTTCCCAAACTTCTTAACTGATGTGAATAGATTATTCCAACACACACAAACTTTAGCTCCAGCTATGTTCTAATACCATCGGATTGGTACTGCCTGTTCTTGTTTAGTTCTGATTACAATAAGCCCCTGTTTTTGCCTCACATTTCTTGCGTTTTTTACCGCCTTGGGCTCTGCATCTCTCTTATTTCACTTCTACTTCTAATCTTGCATAATGGAAACAATTGCTCCACAGTGTTCTGTAGTTCTTACCACGTATCATTTTAAAAATCTTGTTATCCTAAAAAAAATCTATCCTGAAATTTCCCTCCTTCACTTGTTTAAAGGATACCTGGATCTTCTCTGGGAATCAGGCTTCTTCCAAGGACAAGAGGATGTTTTCTTCCTCTTCTACCTCTTCAGTTTAGCGGGTATGTTGCTAAAAATTTGGCTTGTCTTTAATCTGATCCAGCTACCTCAACTCTACCTCCCTTGCAATTCTGTTTACCCACAAACATCATCAACAGCTGCATGAGCCATCTCTTCCATATGTAAAGAGTGCTTGTTAGTATATCCACAGCAGAGCATCTAGTTTCCCAATAAAATGAGCAGATTCCGTGGCAGGAAGTAGGAATTCATTCACAGAGAAAGAGAAAGCAGAGAATGCATTAGGTGTCCTTTGGGCCCAAATGTTTCTACACTGGGAACTGTATTTTGCTATTAACTGAGAAGCCCTTTGGCCTGAGGAATTGTCTCTTGCAGTTACCAGAATTTTAGTTACCCAATGACATCCACTTCTGTAAATAGCTTGCCTTCAGAAACACAATGAGCCTGGATAAAGGATGGAAATCACGCAAATGTCTAGGACTTTTGTTCATAGGGACGCTATGAATCGCCTCCGACTTGACGGCACTTAACAACAACAACAATAAGCACTCTGTTCATACATATACAAGGAAGACCAGTTAATACCACCATAATTCAAATACACACTTCAACAACTAAAGCCAAAGAGGAGGAAATAGCAGATATCTCCAATGTTTGCAGTCTGTAATTGATTGAACATGCAAGCAAGATTCATTTATAATAATTGGTGACTAGAACGCAAAAGGTGGGAACAAGGAATAAGAATCAGTAGATGGAAAATAGGGTCTTGGAGACAGAAATGAGGCCAGAGGTAAATAGGTTAAAATGTTTAAAAAATATTTATTAATTTCAAATACCTTGTATTAAAACCACAAACTGATTGGAATTCTGGTGGCCTAGTGGCAAGAAGCTGCACTGCAATACAAGAGGTATGTACGTGGTGCGAATCCATCAGATTCTCTGCTGGAGAAGGAGGGCCAATCTCTTCCCATGCCAGTCAGATCAGATTTAATGGTACACACACCAAAAATAATAAAATAATTTTTTAAAATCCCACAATCAGAGACTATATACCTGTATCTCACTCATTCTACACAGGTACCAGACTGATTATATCTTCAGAAAGAATTAATGGAGAAGCTCAACATCAAATGTGAAGACTACACTGGGTGCTGGCTGTGGAAAAGACCATTAACTACTGATGCACGAGTTCAAATCGATGCAAAGTAAAATTAAAGTAACAAGAATCAAAATATGACCTTGCCTATTGCACCTGAATTTGAAAATCATTTGAAGAACATGTTTGAGGCAATGAACACTAGTGAATGAAAACCAGATAAGTTATGGAATGATATAAAAATACCAGGATTTCCGGCGGGAGCAAGCCCTCGGAAGCTCTGACAAGCATGGTCTTGGGCGGAAGTGAGGCTTGAGGGCCTCAGGGACCGCAGATAAGCAAGGACAGGCGTTTTTCACAGGTACCCAGAATTTCTGACGGGCCCGAGAAACATAATCTACACAGAAGTTCTACAGGACACGTCACCTTTCCTTGGAGACAGCACAACTAAACTTAAGAGACACTGGTCAAAAGAAAAATGTCAGCAGTCAACGTTTTTGGAATCACAGAAGCCAAG